ATTTCACAGAATTAACTGTCTTTTAACTTTTGATACAAATGTTTGTATCACATTAGAAAGGATGTATCAGAAAAAAACCCAAAAATTATCTGCGTACCTTGCAGATAAGATTGCAGATTTATTGGGAACTATAAGTAGTGAAAACACCGCCAAACACAAGCGGCTGACAATAAGAAAAGCAATAAAACAAAAAAGTAAAAAATAAAGTGCTTTCAAATCAGTCCCTTCAATTGTTTTAGTTTATAATGTTATTGGTAATAGAAATAATAAATTGCTATTACAATCTACGTTTTTTTTTTCTCTTTTATAAATGTAACTAACAAAGAAAAAGACCTGAGAGCCCGCAATGTATAAGTGACAGAACATGACTCAATCTTCAGTGCTAACACACTGCTCTTGGACACTGCCACCAGGCACTTTCCCATTCAGAAATGTCATGCCATTGTTAATCTTTGGAACATCCCATTCACACCGCGAGTCAGGTGCTCACGTGAGGAGTACAGCTGGCCAAGTTCTGGGAAGGTGGCAGGGCAGCGGAGTACAGGCAGGGAAGAGGCTCTATGTGCTGCCGTTTGCCTGAAGCAGAAGCTGCCAAGCATCCTGCGCCCTGCAGCTCTTATGGAAGAATGTTAATCGTATCAAAGAAAAAAAAGCAGGTGCCAGACAGTAAGCCCTCTGCAACAACCCCTCTCTTGTAGTCAGTTCTCACAAGATGTAGCACTCAATTCTCATAACACTTCCGAGTACTTCTTAGGTGTTCAGACATAAGCCTGTTAGTGACTGAAGTGTATACAACAGTGTTTTCTTTTTAATAAGAAACAACAACAATGTGTATATACAGATCCATTATTTGTATATTATTAGCAGTGTGGAAATACTGAAATGCAAGATATCTAAACGCCTCTCGTGATAAGATTAAAGCGGCAACCAACTGGTTATGTGATCCCGCTGGCCATAATATGCACACCATAACACCACAGAAGGGAGCTAATCCTGTCAGGGACAGCTCTAGACCTATTGAATATCTTTGGGATTTGACAATTCAACTGCGCTAATGAGGCAAAACTGAACTGAACTACGCTGAAGGCTGTAAAATGGATGGTCGGTAACAATGTTAACCTGTCTTCTAAATAGTTACATAGTTAATGTTAAATAGTTACAATAGTTACTCTTCCTTCTTTAAATAGCGTACTCCGAAAAGGCGTGGGAAGATTTAGTAGCTAATTTTTGTTGGGCACTCAATAGGAAAATGAGCTCTGAGCCAAAATAAAAATCTTTGTCAGATTGCTTTTATCTCTCTAGCAGATTTCTGTCTTCAGTTTTAAAATAAAACCTGGCACCATTCCCGTGCTTATTTACAACTGACCTCGAGGCAAAGGTATGCTTACTAAGGTGCTGTGGATGCACAGATACAAGAGATAGCTTTAACTCTGAAACGTTAACAATGAGAAAGATTACATGCAGAATTTGCACCCTAAAGTGCCAAAACACTGAGCAGTAGGAAGTTATTCTTCCTCCTGGAAGAACAGCAGTTCATCTGTAGGTCCTAGGGTTTACATGCCAGTCAGATCAAAATATAGGAGGCAGATATGGCCAGCAACACGTTGCTCAACCAAAAAAGGCAAATGTAACATCATACTCTTTAAAATTTCCCTCATCCTGAGAAACTCAGAACTGGCTGACTCAGACCCCAGAAAGCGCTGAGCATGGACAACTGTGTGTGCACATGCTTGGTTCCAGTGGAACCCTGATCTGCTTCCCCATACATTAGCTGTGAAAACAGTGCATGGAGTTAGGATATAAGCTTTTAAACAACACTATAACACTATCATGCAAGTTCCACTGCAGTTTGACCGCAGATGGCTAACAGGAGCCACTAACACTGGTAAATAACACACGGAAAAAACTGGTCACATCCCTATCCTGTGTTTCACTAAATCTGCTTCTTTGGTTTCTAGAGTCAAGTATTGTTGCCAAGGGTAGTGAGAGGCTGCAATAAGGATTCTGTCTTCATTGTTCTGTGCCAGAAAACCAAACCACGGCTCCCCTGAAGCAATCTGACCATCCCATACTGGAAGGGAATCTTCTGCTGTACCAGCAGCCGTATTTGGAGTCATCAAGCAAGCTGCATTTTATTTTTAACACTAGCTCAATTTAGCAGCTATCTGAGATGAGCCAAGCTGGGGCTACAACCTGCAAGGACAGCTAGCATACTTCAACTGGCTTTCAGCTCATTCATTAACTGGTCTTTTTCCAGTTTCATATCATAAAATGCATGGAATCTCTCAGGGCATGTTTATCAGCTTAACTTCATCCAATTCTAACTTGCTCAGTGTGACCTCCATTTGATGTATTCTCAATTCTTTCTCCTGCTTTGCTATGTACTCATATAAAAATAAAAAACAATATATATATAAATTGACCACAAAGATGTGCAAACATCATTATTACCTTAAATCTTATTTGTCAGAAAACAATTTGGAGCATGAAAGAAACACAGATTAGAAAATTACATTACATTATTTCAATTATACGAAAATGGCTAATCCAGGCAAAAAGGGTGTTTCAGAGTCTGAACTGATGGCCTTACAAGCATGTTTAACCTTACCAGGTGTATGACATCAAAATGATTTCCATCCTTTTGTAGTGCTACCTCTATGTGCACTCCTAATATTCAGCTACACAGAAGTGTGTGAGATTCCCTATGTGGAGGAGAGCTGTTCAGAAGCTGCTGACCCAAGGCTACCACATTAAGTAATTTTTGTTTGAGAAATTATCAGTTATAAATAGTGCCATCAGTTTGGAATTCTGAATGCTGGCTGCCTGCTGCTTCTCAGTAACACTTTGCTTTTCCTGTTTTGCTACTCATGTGGACCATACTAACACTGAGGGAAGCTTGCTAAGCCCAGCTTTCACAAGCCTTTTGGTAACTGCTTTAAACCCACAAAATACTTATTTTTGATGGAAATATGGCAATATTACTCTTTTCTAGCCACAAATTAATCTGGTATTGCTGGGATTCAAGGTATATTCTCAAATTTACTTTATAACCAGATGCTTCTAGCACACTAAGATGCAGATTTTAAAGAAGGAAATATTAACAGTCTGACAGACAAATACAGTAACATTTACAGACCTTAAGTTCTTCTATTTTAAGTTTCCAGTCACTGATTTCTTTGGAAAGCTGTATTTTCTCCATTTGAGCCACTCCAACAATTTGACTTATGTTGCTTTTGGAAGACCTGAATAATCCTTTTCTTCTCAACCACCTGTAGATGTTTCATGCTCCAGCTGCACACAACACAAATACTGGTAACCTCAAGGGCTCCCTCCTTGTCCTTCAGACATGCTCTAAGATTTGACATGGCTCTCTCAGCAGTCTCCAAGTCAGCCTATTTGCTTCTCAGAGCTTTGACTTTACAGAGTGTTTACTTTGTCGTCTTCAGTTGGACAGTCAAGGAGATTTCTCAACTGTTTTCCTTTTTTGATAAAAAGTGTACTGCTTGGAATATATATATAAATTTAACAACAGAAAATTAAATATACTGGATTGATGTGAAAAAAAAAAAAAAAAGATCAAAACAGCAAAGTTAGTGTAAAAATGTGGAGTTGGGATACAGAACCTAGCACATTTAGCCTGACCATTCTTCTATGTGTCTGTCACCAGATACAGACAGAATTAACTAGATCACACTCATTTGATTCATCAGAGCAAATCAAGGCTTCAGAAAAAATAAAAATAATAATCATCCCCATTCATCTCAGTTTATCATTACCTCTGAAGCTCATTAATGGTCCTTCTTTGAGAGAAGCTTTGAAATACTAGGTACAGAACTACGTATAAAAAAACATTAAAACCAACCACCATCTTAAAGGAAACAAACAAACAATCCTATACCAGAACAGTTAAATCATTGAATTTCACAAACATGACTTCTCCAATACTGAATGATTCTGCTCCTGCAGGTTCATTATCATAAGGCCTTACTATATCCCAGTACTTGTGCAGAAACCCTATTACCATATGGAAGAACTTATTCCACTTTGGACACAAAGCACACAGACTGCAGTGATTAGTGCAATTTATTACATTGGAATCTGTTTCATTCCATTTTGTGAATGCCCCATCCCTTGAGGCATTCAAGGCCAGGCTGGATGTGGCTCTGGGCAGCTTGGTCTGGTGGTTGGCAACCCTGCACATAGCAGGGGGGGTTGGAACTAGATGATCATTGTGGTGCTTTTCAACCCAGGCCATTCTATTATTCATTTTCAGTAAACATGATGTTTCATGTAATAACAGATACCAGATACAGAATTTCTCTACTAAGAAAAAAATATATATATGCTATCTTAATTCCTGGATATTCTTGCTCCTTCTTACAGCAAACTGTGAAGAAAAAGAACTGTCCTTATATTTATTACTGTATTATTTTCTGGCATATTAAGAAATAACTTTATGCCATAAAAATGAATTTTGTTCCTCAAACTTAGATTAGAAGGAATTCAGGGAGACTGAGGCAGTTGGTTCCTCCCCTTTATAAAGTCTTATTCTTTGTTTTGACTGGATGAGCACAGATTTTATAAACACTTGGTAGTATTGTCTGTTAAGTTTTTAACCAACAATTAGGTGGCTGTTACCCTTTTACATTTGCAGATACACACTTCTTTAAACATCTTATTCCTCAAGGGAAGGTGAGGGAGAAAAAAATGATTGCTTAGAGAGTTTGGGGGCTTAATTGGCCTAATTTGCATTTTCCTAGGTACTCTGGCAAACTGAGCAGGCCAGAGAGAGCTGCAGCAGCAATACCATCAGACACATTTAACATAATGCAACTTGAGGAAAAATAACACCTCCAACACATCTTGAGGGCACGTCATGGACAAAAACTGAAGCCTTTATCCAGAACCTGATCCCAAGTACCAGAAATGCCACCTTGTTGTTTAAACAACGCCTCCAACCCAACGCAACAGCCCCTCAAAGTTCAAAAACTCTCACACACCTGCACGAGGCTATCCTGATCCCCCTCAGCCTCTCTAAGCCCTCCACGTGTCTCCTCCCAGGTGTTTTGTTGTTTATTTTCTTAACTTTGTCGGCCCGGACGCCAGCTACCTGCCCTTCAGAAAAGCCCCTCCTGCACTGTGAGGAGAACCTCTTTTCCCGCCTCCTCCTCGTTCCCGCTTCCGCCCGCCTCTCCTCAGCGCCGCCGGAGGGCGCCCGCGCCTCGTGCTTCAGATACAAAATGGCCGCTCGAGAGCGACTCCAAGCGGTGGATTCTCCCCTCTGTGGGAAGTGCAGGTAGGTTAATGGCTTCGAGCTCGAGCCTGGGGGTAAAAATCCTCACAGGTGAGGAGGGGGCAGGGAAGGGCTTGGATTTTTGACTGCGTTCTGTCAGAGAATTGCTTTGAAGAGAGAAGTGGTGACGAACCTTCCTCCCATCCGAGGGAAGGCTCAGAGCACCAAAAGCCTCCTGCCAGAAACAGTTCACTAATAAAAGCCTGCTGACTTTTGCACCAGTCTCTTCAGAGATTAAAAATGGTTCTCTGTTCTTGAAGGTGACATATGTGATATATCTGACTGATATTTTCAGCTCCAGGTGGGAGAGCAGGCACTGAGTCACCAGTGGATCACCTCAGTAAAGGACATGGGTTGGCTGAGTGCTCTGCCCTGGACTTGGCTTCAGGGGTGAACACACAGGCTTCAATAAATGGCCCCTCCTCTACTAAGGAGTATGCAAAATGCAGCCTTTCTCTTTCTATGGTGGTTGGAACCTATGAACCAAAGGACTGGGTACTGAGGTCATGCATTTGAAATATAGAAACCTGAAGTATTTTTCTTAACAATTTGTAACTGCGAAGCGAGGGGTTGGCATGCATTTCATCCAGGAGCCAGAAATTGGCTTTGGCAATTTGGCACACATTTTGTTCCATTTACATTGGTAATCTTGATTCTTTGCTATCAGAATTACTCCATTAGTGGTTCAGAACCTAGATGTACTGCTGTTAAAGTTTGTGCTCCTGAATTTGCTAAAAAGACTTTTGCCAGTTGTCCTCAAGAGCCGATTGGCATATACATGCATATGCATATATATATATATATATATATACATATATATATGCACATGCATAGGTTTTCTCTTTTCCATAACACTTTCACAGTTATCCTGTTTCTGATGACGTATATGGCTGCATACCTTTATAAAACCTAGCTATTTGTTCACTTCTTTGCATTAAAAGGTGGAATTCATAATAAAAAATATGGTTTGTACTTGAAAAAATAAAAGAGTGGGCCCTTTATCCTTTACAGAATCACTCCTCCAAGGCCAAGAGAGTTATGCTGGAGCAAAACATGAACATGGCAAGAAAGAAGCAGCTCATCCTGAGCTCATTGTCAGCATGCTTGTATGGATGATTTTCTGACAAATCATTTACACTTCTGCCCTTCAGATGTCCAATTCTGAGCTGTTTTGGTGTGTTATTCCTCCTCAGAAGTCTCTTTGGTACAGATGAGGGCTGCATTTATTTTTTAATATAAATCACATAATCACAGAAAATAAGACTTGAGAGGTAAGTCATGAATTTTCTTCCTCCTTCCTCTGAGCTAAATAGGAGGAATATTTATTTGAACAAGATGTCGTGTTTAATTTAGCAGCTAAAAATGCAGTAGCATATGTACAAAATGTAGAAGCTGAACTTTTTCTCTTTGATTTCTAGAATTAACCTGATGACTCGTCAGCTCAGAGACTCAGAATTAATAACTTCTTTCTGAATACTTATCAGAATTTTTGCCTCCTTTCTGAAAAGCAAATGCTTGTTTATTAATCTGTGAAATGTTTGCATTTAAGTCAATAGAAAGCATTTAAACTCACGACTCTGTTAAAAACCTGTGTTACCCAGAGCACAGCAGATGGGGGCAGTATTGCTCCAGCGAACTTCTTCATTTGCAAAACGAACTTTGAATAAAAGAAGGAGTTCAGTAAAAGTCAGGGCAGCCATCAGAGAGGAGACAATGCTTTTGTTGATGATAAATATAGGGTATGTTCTTGAACTCTAAAAAGCGAAAATGATGACGATTTCTCCTGCTTTAGCAGGAGTTTATTCAAGCTTTGTGTGTGTGTGGGAGGGGGAGGGGGGAGCAGTACTTTATTGAACCCAGGTCTCTTCTGGGTCCCAACAACAGAGCTCTCAGCTCTGTTCTGAGAGGAGCTCATCAGAGAATTCCTTTCTTTTGGCAAAAAAGTGCATCTGTACTTGTGTTATGTGAGGTTCTAGCCAGAAGCAAGGTCGGGGGAATAAGGGTTTATGTTTAAGATTTCAAAATAGTTATATGTAGGTGACCGATTAATATTGGTTTGTGTTCAACACTGAAATCTATTAATGAGAAGAATTAGCTCTAGCCTCTGCCCAGAAGTGCTCGTCTGTATTTTGTTAATTCTGCTTTCTTTATCAATAGTGGCTGTGTGTTTTTAAGTTATTGTGTACTGTGTTTGTTTGTGCTGAATCTGGCAGAAGGTTACAATTTAGATTTGTGGGCCTAGATTTGCTATAATCTCTGGAATTAAAAAAATCCGTGGGTTTCTGTGGGCATCAATGGGGAGGTTAGATTTGAAAATGGCAGTTTTCTTGACGAGATGGAAATTGAGATCTATGATTAACTGACAGATTTTTAACTCCCACGTGAATGAGATACTGCTGAGGAAGCAGAACAGTATCTGCCAATGCTCTGGGGGCTGTTGATCAGACCATTTTCTTTAGCTTGTCATGGGTTTCTGATGTATGCAAGTATGTGTATGTTAATATTTTTTAGAGCTGAACTGGTATGATAGAGATGACTGAAAGCATTAACAAATGCAAAGGCAATGGGGTGTTGCAGGAGATACTAAACACACAGTTCTAGTCATACAGCAGCCGTTTGGTTTATTACAGTAAGTGGACTAATATCACTAATCTGTTATGGTGACAAGAATCACAGTTGTAAGGCTACTGCATATTTAAGTTGCTAAATCTTAATAGAAATCAAATACATTAAAGGTTAAAGTTTCACTCATCAACAAGCATAGTTAGTAAGGATCTCTCAACCTCAATGGGGGAATCTTGAGAGGCATCCCAGTTCAGAAGGAAATCACTGCTGCATAGCCTGCTGCTTCAGCACAGATAGCTCAAATTGGACTTTCTCCAACTGATGTCTTTATAGCAAAAAGTGTCTCATAGTCAAACTTAAAATCTTATCATGTTGGTTTTGACTCCTCAATTAATCTTTATGTTTTCATGGGAGATTTCAGTGGATCATCTGCGTTAGGGCTCAATCCTCTTTGATTATGGTCATAGTCATGAGCATCCACCAGGCATTCTACTATTCAAGCACTGTGTATTTCAAGGAACAGTCACATCAAGGCCTACTGTGGCTCATAAGACTGAGCAAGGCATATCTGTCACAAGGGGGAGAAAACTCTGCCCTTGAAATGGTGATGAACTTGATGGTGCTATTGACAAAAATGATTTTATATTTAGTGTGTTGTATTCAGCACCCAAAAGGAACTGTAGTTGTGGAGTAGAAGAAAAAGTACCTCAGAAAAGGTGATTGTAAGTTACTCATCAGCCATTGCCAGCACCATGAGAAAAACAGCTCTTGCTGAATATGAGGTGCCAGCAGACATTAGATACAATGACAATATTTTTTCTTGGAAGTGAATATAATTCAGAGTTCTTTGTCTTGTTAATACGCTGGCATGTTCTTGCAGTCTTAAATAGTTCTGATGGTTATGGATAGGAGGATGTATGGCCCCAAGAGATGGCTCCTGGAGCCTTAGCAAGGCCTGCAGAGGAACCAAAATGAATTGCTCTTTGTGGTGACTTGGAATGAGGGTTTTTACAGTGAAACACTAGGAGTACTTGAAATCTGATTTGAAGTGAACTGAGGGATGATTTCTGGATAAAAAGAAGCTGTAAGACTGACCATGATGTGAAGCAAATGAAAAATCAGGCCATGGAAGGGAATTAGAGAGTACAGGGTTCAGTATAAGCAGGGGCTAAAAAAGAAAGAGAAGGGTGTCTTTTCTATATTCCTCCTCTTGATTATCAGGGATGAGAGCTGGGATAAATAGGGCAAATAAAAAGCTGTAGGGCAACTGTGACATCTTAAAGGGAATGGGAATGCGGCAGCATGAAGTGCATGAACAAATGTAAATAGATTTCTTGTTTGAGATTTGCAGCTCTAAGCTTTCCAGGGTCTGAGCGCAGTAGAGTTCATTATAGGTTTATTAACACAAACTCTTCACTGCTTTCAAAGCTGGGAGGAGAAATGATGCACATCCCAGGTGCTGTGAGATCAAAAGTGCAGGCACCTTACAGGCACAGGCTGGTATCTGTTTATTCAGCTACACAAGCAGGAAAGGGGGTGGTCTGTGGGCTGCCCTCTTCATCATCCTGTTCAAGTACAGATATAAAATGGAAATTTTTGTGAACACCTCCAGTGATGTATTTTAGGAGTAAAGTCAACGTCTGCTAAAGCAATGAGATAAATGCCAGAGAGCCTACATGCATAGATAAAATATTAGATGCACTCAAAATCTTAAACTGTGCATAGTCAGCAGTGACTGCCTGCATTCATAAAAATATCCAAAGTTTTCACTGCTGATTCTTTTTTCAACATATGGGGAAAGCACAGATTTCTTGTGTTCACTCAGTGATAGTGCAGTGTTTGGAGGAAATGACATGTTTAGTGAAGTCAGTGGGTACCATGTGGAAGAAGAACACTTATGAGAGTGAAATTTTTAGTACTGCTCTGCTGTGCTGATTTGGAACAGGTCTGTTGTGTTTTCAGCAGCTGGCAGTTTGCATTGTTACAATTCCCTCACAAATACAACAGAAGGATGTGGGTTTCGGAGGCATAATAAAAGGGTGAGCCTCAGCTTTTGCACACTGCATTTTAGTGTTGCCTGCTTGATGTGCACGATTGGGCAGCACTGCTTTTCTTGCCTTAATCCATCTCTCTCTCTCTCGCTCGCTTCCTCGCCCTCTCTCATAGCAGCAGTTGCTGCAGTAGCTTTGTCAGATCATCGGAGAGAGCACAGAGAATGAAAAGAGCTCAGCTATCGTCTTAACATATTTCCCAAAGGATTAATTTCACCTACTTCTCCTGTTTTGCTGATAGACTTTTTTGCATCGTCTTATTCCAATAAATGTGGGGTATTTTCACATTTGAAATCCCTCAAAATAGTTTTTGGAATGGACTTTTTCTCTTATGTTTCCCAAGCTTTTTTTTTTTTTGACAAGTCAAAGAATTGTGTAGTAAGCGGACAATGTAACAGAGCGTGAGAGGAAGAAGACGCTTTCATTCTTTTAGTGCAGTGGGCTGAGGCAAAAAGGCCATTGTAATGGTAAATGGCACGCAGAAAGGAAGAAAAGACTGATAATCAATCACAAATGAAGCATTCGTTTGGATTTTGGCAATTTGCTGGCCAATGGCTTTTAAATGTGTAAGCTTGATTTTTCTTTTGTTGCCCACATACTGAAAAACTTAAATTGATAGACCGAGGACAGGAAGAGAAATCTTTACAAAGCCGTCATGTTCAGAATATCTGGAAATGGGCAAAGCACAGTGCTGCAACAGCAGTAAAAAGTGGCAGTTCCAAAGGAGAAATTGCATTCAGAAGAGCTGGTGGGAAACATTTTTTTTAACCCATCACCTTGGACTCCAGCTCTGAAGAAAGATTTTCCATCACAGACGTTTTTTGTTTCACGTGTTTGGGGATGGCTCGTGGCCTTCCGGGGAGTTTAATTTGCTGCTTTATTATTCTGTGATTGCCAGAGTCGGTTTTTTGTCTGAGTATGTGATAGAATAGCTGAGGATGTTGGACAATATTAACACCAGCCTATCATCTTCAGAGAGCAGCATAACCCATAGAGGAAGATACATCTACCTGGAGGCGCTGCTGCAAGGAGGCGCTCCATGGGGATTCACACTGAAGGGCGGACTGGAGAACGGGGAGCCATTAATCATCTCAAAGGTATTTTTTCTATTTTAAATGCAGTGCAAACAAATTCGGAGTTGTGCCAGATTTAAAGGGCAAGAGTTGTAAACTAACACTGGTATGCTACATTTGGCACTGTATTTTTGGCTTGATTTGGAAAACTGTAGAGACTTTATTGAAGTCACCAGGTTTGTTCAGTAGCTGAGCAACATGTGAGAGCTCTCACCACTGTTTAACTATCAAAGTACGTTTTTTGTCCCACAGGAAATATTTTTACTTTTAGAAATTATCTCTATTTCATTGAAGTCTCTTTATGAATTGGAGAAAGAGCTCTCTTTTTTTGTGAGATGACTCAGTTGTCTTGTATCATGAAAACAGCATATCTGGGCATGTTCAGTAATCCATAACAATCTCTTGTGAAGTGTGAAAAAGTGCTTTATATCACGTGATGCAGCACCTGCTAATTAGAAATTTATGTGGGGAAAAAAAAAAAGAATAATAAATGCTTATACCTATTTGGTTTACGTATATGTTATGTTAGCAGTTCACTCACACTATGTACTCTCTGCTTGTTAAAGATCTTCTCAGTATTGTACACCTTCTAGATTTGTGTTCTAGCTGACAAAAATATTTTGAGAAACAAATGAGAGAAAGAGTTCCTCAAAGTCACCATAACCAGGCTTTTATAAGAACCTGGATGCCTGCAGAAGCAGATCCTTACGACAGTGGATTTTCAAAAGCATCAATTGAATCTGTGAATATTTTAAGTACTTTTTACCTGTGGCCCTAAAACTGTTTTGAAAATGTGATTTAGGTAATTCCAAAATGTTACCTGTAATGGCTCTAGTCATTTTTCTCCTTTATGTCACCTCTCTGTCCAGCACAATCTGCTTTTTTAGTGGCGTTTATGTAGTGAGCCACTGCATGCGTGTGTATTGTCACCTAATCTCATTTCTTCATGTAAACTGGGATGCATGCAAGGGATGCAAATGATCAGAACTAATGTCAACTGAAAGAAAACTAAATCAATGCTAAATCAGTTTTGTTCAAATTCTGCAATTCACTGTGCAGATGAATTGCACAATTTTCATTGACATGAAAATGCCAGTCACTTGAATAGTTCACCTGAAAGAAAACGCTAGCAGTTTGTACATCTGCACGTTGAAAGTGAAAAGGAAGACTTGGATAAACGTTATTTAATTATAAAGAGATTTTAGAGATTTCACTGAACTCTCTTTCTTGCATTACTTTATTGGGTATAGTTTGGCACTGCTACAGAATGCAAAATTAGTCTCATTGAAATGGTCTTATATTTTTCATTTTATAAACATTGAGGGACTAACACTTCACATTTATTCGTTACATATTGGTTGTGATCGACATTTGTGAGTAAACTGAGAGTTTCTTTTTGCTTTGACATTCTTCTGTGACATAAAAAGCTCTACCCCCTGTGCTGGTTGTTTTTGTTTGTTTGTTTTTGTTTTTGGGGGTTTTTTTTGGTTGCTTTTTTTGTTTGTTTGTTTGTTTTTTAATTGGGGGCAGGGAGACAGAGAGGAAGAGGGATGGCTCTGGATGCTGAACATTAATTAATCTATGGGATTTGGTTTCCACAACAACGAGGCCCCTTAATGTCAAACATGCCTGGAGCATGTATAGTGCCACTGGGAGCTGTATGACTTATGCTTGCATACTGTGAAATAGCACTGCAAAAACGTGCATTTTTTAAAAAAACTTGGAGTTTCTGCTGAGTTTGTGCTGTCAGTGTGAGCATTTTGCTCTGCTTACGTGTTGGTGACACTGAGCTGGAGAACAGTTTGCATGACAAAGCTGTGCTTTCTGGAATCTGTGCAGCACCTACAGCTGCTTTCAGGTTTCCAGTTTCATCTGAGAAACTCATTTCTTCTTGTGTTTGAATTCTTCTGTGGGAATTCACGGTGCACTCTTTAGAATGAATTGTATTGGTAATGTAGCGGATTCAGTATTATCCTAATTGTACTGTGGAGTAGCGAGGAACTGTGGGAAATAATCAGTTGAACCATGTTACAGGCCAAACCCTCCTGTGCTTACGCAAGAGCACTAGCACTGCTTATGCAGGTACAACGTTTCTAAGCAATGTTATCTGTAAATATAAAAAGTATGGATATCAGATTTTCATTCCTGATCGTTCAGAATTAAGGTAGGAATTTTTTTCTTTCAACTTCCCAGTCTGTTCTGGCAAATCGTATTTACGTCCGTGTCAAGGTCTGTTTGCATTGACCGAGTCGTGTTAAATGGCTTCAGTGTAAATAAAAAAGTAGATTTCAGTAAATACTGAAATTGGTACCTATGAAAGCTTGTAGCTCGACTTAAATCAGTGCAACATCAGCGTTACAGACTGTGGGACAAGACAGCAAGTCTGTTCAAACATGATGATTATTTGTAGTCATCAGGAACTGGTGTTCTTTGGGACCCACAAATATAGCAAAACTCTGACCTATATTTTGAGCTGGTTGAAGGTGGTGTTTTTGAGATCTGTCTACCATCATTTTGGCAGTTCCTTGCACCAATTGCAAGGTTGTTAGAACTTCTCAGCAAAAGATGTCTTGCTGTATAGATGGACTGCAGTGCTCCTGTGCAAGAAGACAGCCTGACTGTATGTGGTTGAGTGCATAGACAGCACACAGAGTCAAACACGCTAGGAAATGCTTTGCTGAATCAGGCACGGTGCTCAGTGCATCATGGAACCAAGTATAAATCAACTAGTCAGTTGATGGTTGTGCAGCTAACGTAAATTTAGGTAGTTAAAACAGATGACCTTTATATACTAATTCTTTTTTGCCTATGGAAGCATAAGATTATATTGAAGCAGTTTGACGATGGCCAATTTAAAGTCTTCAGCACAGGTCTTTTCACAGTCTGTTTTGTTTTAGGTGGAGGATGGACCATAAACAATTTTTTTCTTTATACATCTGACCCACATTTCTTCTCTCCATTTAGGAAAACACCTTGACATTGCCACTAGTCTACTTTTTTCTATCTTGTTTCTCAACTAACCATATACAGTTCTTCACATGAAAGCTGCTTAAAGGTATTATTTTATGATTCTAGCTGTATAGGACATTTAAAAGAGCATACTCATCTTCAGAAAAAGAAATTTGGAAAATGCTGTGTCAGCAAAATGGAAATTCAGGGTGTTGACTGGCCTAGAACAGCACTTAGTTTCTTGGGAGCCTAAGGAAGTTTCTTTTGTCTTCTGGAGCTGCTGGTTAGACCACAGGAATTTAGGATTATGTGTAGTGTTCCTGATGTGCCATCTAAGCACACATTTCTGAGGATGGATCCTCAGAAATAAGCTTTGTGGGATTTAAAACATATGCATACCCAGATTTCCATTTGTATATTACTGTTTTGGTTCATTTTTAGCTGTGAAAGCAATGTTACAAATACGAAAGCACCGATTGTTCCAGGCAGCAAAGGCAAACTGGAAACAAAATGTTTATTCCCTCTCTGTTTGCTCTGAGGGTTTTTCAGGTAAGAAACATTATTCAGTATTAACCATTCTGGAGCCAAACAATCTATTTCTGCAGTCACTTTCTTACTATTATGCACAAGCCTTTGGAATAGCTTTGGTTGTTAGAGGACTCCGAAATGCACTTTCACTTTGAGTTCCATATTGATGATTGAACAAAAGAGTTATTTCTCTTCCTATGAAGCACCTAAGGCATTCTCTCACAAATAGCAGCTATCTGGGAATGCTTTTCACTGTGCTGTAGTTCATCAGTTCCCTGAACTCAAAAGGATAGGTCATTTACAGGGACTCAGGCTGGAAGTATGACACAAACTCAGGTTTATCTCTCAGTAGGGATATAGGAAGAAATAAAAGTTTAATAATGATAGGAATAACTTGGAACAGGGCTTGAGAAAGAGTCCTTAATTCCTTGTTATCAGACCTTGTTGAAAGCCTGGCACAACTTATGGTGCGCTCTGGTCTTCTGCCAGTTATTGCCCTCCAGCAATCAGTGCTTGTTGCAGCTGGATCAGGCTGTCCTCCACCATGCTGCCACCTGAGTGCATATCCTGTAGTAGTTTTGATTGTGATGCCTTGTTCACATTGCTTTCTTCAGTGAACTCGTACAGCATTTAGCAACAACCACCAATCTTGACAAGACAAAATCCAAAAGACCATTCTGGATTTTATCTGGCCCAGGGATGGACACTTATCCCTGTCTCTGCTTCTGGTCTGACTCCAAACTCTGTAGTACTTTCCCATTACGGTAGTCCTGTGAGCCCCATGCAAATGCCCAGAGCCCCTACAGGCAAAATGAAATAGTCTCACAAACTGACAGGCAGTTCCTTTTCACCCGTTCCTCATCCCTCTGTGTAACAATTGCCAGTTTAGAAGTTGTTAGCCTTTCTGTAGGGCTGCAAGCACCAAGGAGATGGATAGTTGATGCTCACATTAGTGGGACTTATTTGAAATTGGCAGATTTGAGATAGGCACAGGGATGTGAGTTGGAGCCAGAGGTGCTATGAATTCCTCTGTGGTTTTATTTGCTTGTTTGTTTGTTTGAAAGTTTCCATACTCATTCTTGTTTGGATAGACACAGACTTCATTTTTCTTATTAATCCCCCAGAATAGCTTAGGCCCTCTGTGCTGTTAATGTTGAAAAATGCTCTTCATTGCTTTTTGTCTTTCTATATACTATAAGTGTGTTGATGAATGGATTCCTTTCAAAGCCATGAACACCTTGTTACACTCATGCTTTCAGCTCTGTTCGTGCATTTAGAGCCACAGGTATGGATGTCATGTATAATATGTCAAGTCCTTAGTCAAGTTTTTTGCGTATAAGAACAGAACAAGATTGGTATGTAAGAATCACCTGTGTGCTGATCTTTTGGTACTTAACTACATCAGTTGATAAAGCATGGCAGAGTGATGTGCTTGTTGTTCCTTCTCATTTTCCCAAGGGAAAGCAATAAGTGGGCTGTCATTTATCTAGGGCTAAATCATTAAATAGTTGCTCGTGCTTGGTCTCAGTCTAGGGGCGGGCAGAAGG